ATCAATATCGTAAATGCATTCAACTAAACGCTATCCAATCGCTAAAATCCCAATGGTATCCCCATTTTTTAAACTCCAAATCATGAAACCCGGGTCCTTCGGACCTCGGGAAGCGCCCACTGCCTCATCCATCTCGACTCCAGCAGTTCCCGAGCCGAAGCCCGATCCTCGGGGCGGAAAGTGATCATCTGCTTCATCATCTCGATAAACGCCTCCTTCTCATTCTCCGACATGGTCTTCATGCCGTTTTCTCGTCTGCTCTGCTGGATGCTTCGCTCCAGTCTGTCTTCCCATGTGAATCCCCTTTCTGCGGATTGCACTGGTGTGACGTCCATGTCTTCCTCGGCCCAGTATTCGGGTTGGCTTCTTCCGTAGACTGACCATTCTTCTGGTATTTCTCCAAGCAGGTCGGTTTGATCTCGTAGAATCTCGTCTTCGGACAGTGTCCAAGCGTCGAACAATGGTCTTTGTCCCATGACTCCCCAGATCAAGCATCCAAGACTCCAAATATCGGAACTGAAAGAAAGCGGTTGGCATGCATCAGGGAACTGAACCTCGGGTGCTCGGTATCTGATCGGGGCATTGCAGTATTGTCGCTTCTCGTTGGAGGGTCTGTACGATTCGCCAAAGTCGCCCAACAGAATCCTTGCATCCGCCAGAGTCACTTCCTCGCTCTTTTGGCCTAGCCAAATTGGCAGTACGGCATGGTGAGGCGCGTTTTCGTTGAGGGGAGCTCCATCTAGTCGAGTCACAGGAATCGTTTCGGGTTGACTGTGCTTCTTGTGAAGCTGATCTGGCGAGAGATGTCTGATTCGTTCAGGAAGCCGTAGCAGTACGTTGTCCAGGTGCAAGTCTATACCAAATTAGTGTCTGTAGCAAATCAACGATGCATCTTTTCTCACCTCCATGCACCACACCGCCCTCATGCAGGTAGGCCAAGGCCTGGACCACCTGAGCAGCAATGGCTCTGGCGGTCCGAGGCTGGAACAGTCTACAGAACGAAGCGTCCTTGGCGAGACGTAGAGACATCATGGCAGGGTCGTTAACCAAGCACGTATGCCTCCCATTGGGACCATCAAAGTGAAAGTTGTCCGTCACATGTCGGATAAGTGACTTTCCAGGATACTTGCTTCCAGGTCTGGCGGCAAGGTGGTGAAGAATGTCCACCTCTGTCGAATCCTCTCCAAAGTCGGCTAGCACAATCTTCAAGGCGGCATACTTTTGCTTCAGGATATCCCACGAAAGCCATACAGTCGAATAGCCGCCATGACCAAGCTTGTTGAGGATGAGATAGCGGTTGTTGAGCGTCTCACCCAGCGAGACGGGATGGAAGCCGCCATGGCAGTACTGCTCCAGGTTCTCGACGTGTTCGATATAGTTAAAGGTGTATCCCATGCTGATCAGTCTGGCGTTGTGATCCTCCATCAAGGTTGGCTGAGATACTTGAGCGGCAGTGGCAAGCCCCCGGGTCGCAATCCTCGGTACCATTCCCTTTAGACCAAAACATCTCCTAGCTCCAGATACCAGAGTCAAGGAAGGCCGCCGCAGCGACTTGAAACCGCGAGTCGCCATGTTGCTTCAGTCAGGAGTTGTTGTATAGGTGAGTGATGTTTGTTGTATGAGCATGTTCAGGGACGGAGGCCAGACGCGTCGAGCCTCTCGTCTTGGGCTACAAGTCTATCCCATACCGGTGCAATGGATAATGACTGAGAGTAGAGAAACAGTCGACATAATAGAGCCGAGCCATGGTTGTTACTCATATGATGATGGTCTGATGGAGACACTCGGTTGAAGGGATGCATTCCGGGGTGGAAGATGCCCCAGGCACCAACTTTTCGGTCAAGTTCCGAGAGGTCCACGGTGTGCGGCTGCAATAATAAAAGAAAAGTCAATGGACACACGAAATTAATCGGAGGCTGCCGCAATGCACGTCGCAGCTAGTGCAAGCGCCCGGTTGCTGTGCTGTTGGTTTTGCACATTGTGTTGATTGACCGCCATCTGGTATGGACATCTCGGTTGCTGCGTTGACGGTTGCATTTTCGAGTCGCTTCACACCGCGGCAGGGAGGTTGAAAATTTGCCATCAGGTGACAGTACCGTGATTCCGTCCGCCTTGTTTCAACATCCAGGGGGAAATCAGCTAATTGCCCGAGATGAATCAGGTGAATAGGGCGAGAATGAACAGCATCTTATACCTGAATAGCCATCATGAAGTTGCATGCTCGGTGTGGCCTGACCTGACTCATATCTTATCTTTGTCCGGGGGAATCGTCTGGGGACTCCATCCGGGGAAGCCATTCAGCCGATCAATCACAGCCGGTCTTCCACGTCCCCACAGTCCATATCGAGTAGTAGCCGGCTTGGGGTTGAACGGCTTGATATTAGCCTATTCGTGCCTATCTCTTTGTTAGTTGATCTTCTGAGAGATCTTGATAGTCTGGGGAACAACCTTGTCGAGACCTAGTCGCACGAATTAACCACACTTAAGATACCCATTGACAGGACCTTGAGGCCATACACACAAATGTCGCCACTCAGAAGCCAACAGCCTCACGAGATGCTTTCTTCAACGAACGAGTCAAACTTGACTTGTCCGCCTGTTCAAACGAATTCATGAGTAAGAGGGTAAAACAAACACGAATTGATGCTGTTTCCTCGTCAAGTGCCTTCTTCACTCCCTCCACAACCTCAAGCTCCTCCTCAGCAAACGAGTTCAAGTACAAACGCCTCCAAAATCATGAATCTTGGCATCTTCATCCTCCAGCTGGCAGCAGTGCCATGACCTTCGACGTCGACGCAAATCTCAAAACAGCCAGCACTGGCTGGCAGCTGGCAACTGAAAATCCATCCCGTCCCACCTGTCAATAGAAATCTTGAAATTTTTCTCTCAGAATCTTCTCTCCCCCATTGGTTTCTTGAATACTCGTTTCTTGACCTCTTGTGAACAGAGCTCGTTGTTCGCATTCTTGCATCGTCACTTGACGATTCGATACACCACCGTCCGTAAGAAACACTAGCAATCACTTGATCTCACAGTCAGTGTATCAAAACGTCCAAGATGAATCTCGAAAAGTTCCTCTTGTCACTCCTCATCCTCTTCTTCGGCATGGTCTGTCATCATCCATCAGCAACAAGCCCAACAGCATCTCTGACACTTAGCAGGCCCTCGCAGAACCCGACACCACGCTCGGCGACAATAAGTCGGCTCACCCTCTCCTCAAATACACTCCCGGCCCTCTGCCCTCCATCCTTCGCACCATGGTCAAGGACCCCAATGGCCTTCTGAACATCGGCACCGATGGCGTGCTCCGCAGCTTCGCCGCCAACTCCTCCGTCCTCGACTACCGTCACCTCTCGTCGGTGCAGACTCACGGCCTTGCCCCCGATGGACGCGGCGTCCTCTCCGAGGCGGCTATCCTGCACTCCCCTCGTGGCGCCGTCAAGGGGCGGGCGTCAGCGGCTGGCGCGGGCCGGCTGGTCGGCGTGGGTATCCCTGCGGCCAGCAGCACCGATCCCGCCGCAGCTGAAGTCGTCCACCCCGAGATTCTGGGCGAGTGTGCTCCCCCGGTTGCGTGCTGGAACAGCACGACCTGCGGCGGTGGATGCGGCGCGTGCACTTATTTCGGCTTCTTCCCGTATGGACTGTGTCTGTCCGGATGAACAGAGAAGGGATGACACAAGCAAGCAAGCAGTCAGGATGTTGATGATAATCAAGCGGGGTGTGCATGTACAATGTCGACACAACCCGGGATTGATGCGCACGTCAGAGTCTGGGGTGTCTTCAAGACCGGGAATGAGGCCGGTTAGAGATTGCACCGCAGGTTGAAAGGATTGGATTGGGGTGTCTGACTTGCACATGAGACAGCCACGACAGTTGATCAATATGTACCTCCCTTGCACAATGCATCATTTTTGCTGCTTTACAACCCTCTAACTCGGGGATATGCCGGGGTGATGAATCTAGGGAAACCTGGGGAAACAGGCATCAGATGAAGAGGCCATCAACCATGATAGGATGAGACGAGGTTCCCTTGGTTGACTTGAGATAAGCTCCAACGCCCGCTCTCAACCGCCTGCATCTGTGTGTCTGCATCTGGTCCGTGTGCCCTCCTTCTTGTTCCCCTCAACACCATCCTAATATCATGCCTCGCATGTCTTTCAACGCCTCTCCCTACCTCGCTTGCTGTATCATCCCCTCCTCGCTTTGCTTTTGGCTGCTGCTGCTGCATACTTTATCACATATCTCCTCGGACTTGAATCCCGCCCTCCCCACGGCCCTCGGGATCTACGCTGCACCTCCTGTCTATCACCCCCGCCTTTCAGCCGCCTAAACGTCTTGGATACATACAGTAGCGCAGCCTTTAGGTGTCATGACCTCGACTGGCGATGCACATGCCAGCCTCAAACATTGTTTCCGATCCCGGCTCGGCTGTAGAGTGGCTATCGTCACAAGCCAGCAATGCAACCTCTATGCACAGCTTGTCCAGCTCACAAGCCATCTCCCGCTTCAACGCTTCGAATTGGCCTACCACGATCCGCGCCACATCCAATTCCCCGCCCCCGCGTCAATCACACCCCCAATACCCAACCTATCTTTTGCTTTGTTTAGCCTCTACCTCTCTTATCTCTCTCGCTTCCCCTGGTCTTCGTCTCTCTCTATCCAGCCCTCCTTCACCCCGCTCCCCCTCCTCACCCCCAGACGTCCCCCAGACGCCTCCCGCTTGGCGTTGCAGCCACGTCTATGCACTTCCGCCCAATGCTAGACACGAGACGAGAAACATCCTCGGGAGCCATCTCTTGACCTCTGTCATGGTTGCCTGACCTTGACTTCGCTATGCCCTCGCCTAACTTTAGCTCTATGCCTTTCTCTTGGCAGCGTCTTCTTGGCAAATTCAACTGTCACTGTGGCACTGATCATGAGATGCAATTGTCACGGTACATGACAGGTGGTTACGAAGTCATTACACTCGACAGTTCACATTGGGCTCAGACAAACAAGTTGTGTCATCTTTCTCTTGATGATTATCATGATGCCTCCGAAGCCTGCTCCTTTTTGGGCGGCCTGGGCTATTCATGGCTACTAAGATACAGTGGCTTTCGTCGCTTGGTATTTCCAACACATGGGATCTGTTTTCATCCCACCCGTTCGTGACCTGTTCTCTGTGTGTCTTGCACACCCAACACCTTTTTTTCGTCATTCCCATGTGTCCTGTAGTCCCGTTCCTTTGTAAATGTGGAAGCATCTCTGTCTTCCTTCAACGCTGGTGGGTATATCGCTTTTTCAAATCAGATCGCCGCGTATCTCATGGAGTTGTAACAAAGAAAACATGCGGCAATTTATGCCAGTAAGAGTATTAATGCGAGAAGAGGATATGTTGAGCGGTTGCCGGCGGTTTCAGGATTGTCGGCTGTCAATGGAAGAGTTGGAAACACTGAGTCGGTGAGCATCGAGTTGCTCCAGGCTCTCGTACTCAATGGGGGACTCCTGCACAGGATAGGCCGGGGGGCTTGGGGGCACGTCCTGGTAGACAGGCGGGGCCTCGTTGTCCCAGCTGACGCCCATGCCGGCGTGGTCCGTCATGACAACGCCGTAGTGCATCCGCAGAATGCGGCCGGTGCCCGTTTGTGTTGCGAGTTGTGGCTTGCCCTCGGGCGCGTACTCTCGGGACACGACCAGCTCAATGAGGAGCGAGTGGGTCACCTCGATGCCATCGTGGGACTTGGTATCGCAAGCATACTTCAGCTCCTTGCTGTGAGACTTGTACTGGTTGGCAAAGTAGTCAAACTCCATCTCAACCTTGCCATCGGTACCGGTAAAGTCCGACTTCCAGCCCTCGTGCAGGTGCTTCTCACCCAGGACACGAACCTCGTTCCGAGGAAGACCCTTCTTCTCGGGGTCTTGAGCTTGGGCGGGAGCATGTCGCTCACAGGCGGGAGCCACAGTCTTGATCGTCTCCTCAAGCCTCCAGGTAACCTTCTTTAGTCGCCAGAAATCAATAGTCTTGGCCTTCTCGTTACGACTCATCAAGCCATCGAGTCGTAGGCTGACTGAGTTGGTACCGGTGGGGTGGATGACGTTGTTGTAGTGGGCACTGGCCTTGATGTTTGTGGGAGGAAAGACTCGGACAGAGTGGTGAGGGATCTCGTTCTCGGGCAGAGAGCGCTTCACGGGAATAGTTCTCTCAAATCGCACGGGTGCGCAAGTGCCAGAGGTAGAGTTGATGCCGCGAGTGACGTAGGCATCGGCCTTGAACTCGTAGGAGACGGCGGCCAGGGGGGTATCCATGGTAGCGGGGAGGTGACCACCAAGGAGGATAGAGAAGGGATATGCGTGACGACCCTTTCGAAGAGTGGTAGGGTGAGCGAGCAGTTGCCAGGCTTGGAGCTCAGTGTACTGGTTCTGGCAATCCGTGCAGTGGCTCTGGAAGGGTCGCTTCTGGAAGACATGAAGCTTCAGGGATGCCGAGAAGCTGCCAATTTCGACAGCCTCCTCCTTGACATCAAGGAACATCTGGCCCGTGATGAGGGCTCCGGTGCTGTCCTCGGCGTTGCCATGGAAGACAACCGGGGGGCTCTCGATGCTCCAGTCGATGGAAACGGCTGAAACCTGCTCCTTGCTCGACTTGCCAAAAGGCAGTGAGATGCGGTGGTGCTTCTTGACGGCGTCTGCGAGGTCTGGCATTCTGACGGCGTGAACTTCTGTTCGATCCTCACCATCAGATGTGTAAGGGCTGTTTGTGCGTGATCGTGCGACCTTCTTGATCTGTGCAATGTTGCCCGATGAAGTACGGAGGAAGTTGGCCACGCGGTGGGGCATGGCTGCTAGTTCTGAAGGAGCGACCTTTTGTAAGTCACTCTAGAATTGGAAGGAAGTTGCGGTCGGGGATTGGCGGGTAAGAACGTTCCAGGGACGGGCCCTTGGAAGTCGGCGGCTAATAAGTAGCAGAGACGAGTTTTTGCAAAATCTCTGCACGCTGATGTAATTCTGTCTTGTCGACGCCGGCGCCGATAGCGGGTGCTTCGATTTAATGGCGTCAACCGGGCGGGAGATGGCCAGGGGCAATTGTGCTTTTTTGAGGGTGGCCTTGTGACTTGTTGCAGTCCCTAGTGATGCAATGACGATGCCTTCAAGGGTCCTTTTTAGTTCAGGGAGCCTTGTTCGTGTGCAAAGGGTGTGTGGTCGGCAGGGTTGGGAAGCCGGGTATAAGCTGCAGGTTCTGAGAGCCGATGGCGGGGCGATTCTTGGTTTTCGCTCTTTTCAAGGTCAGGTGCCTCGATTATATGATGGTCTGCAGAAAGAACGAGTGACTGAAATCAGAACTGGAGATGTGGTCTCGAGTTGATGTCCGTCTGCAAGGTCAATTGTGGTTGACTGTCTTGAATCGTTCGGTCTTGGGTTTCTTCGAAAGCTTCGATCGTGTGTAAGTGACGACGATGGCTTGTAAGTGGGAGGAGGGCTTGTGGTTGGTGTGAGTGGTTGTTGATTGTGTGTGCTGTGAACCTTGTTCAAGTCTGGGGAACTCGATATTCAAGTAGAGATGAGTATGAGGAAGAATGGAGAGAGACTCTTCCTAAACAGAGAGGCAGAGGGCATCACCAAGACTAAATATCTGATCTCAGGACTACGACTCGCAGAGAGCTCCTACGCCGGGCTGGGGGAAACGATGTGTCATAGCAAAGGTTGCCCTGTAATGGCGAGCTTGTAATGTGGCGCCTAGTGGACATGCACTGACAGGCGGCTCCCGCCTGACTCTCCCACCTCTCCATGCACACTGGGATGCTCTAGGATTCCCCTGGGCGTGTGGGTTGTGGTTGTGTCGCTGTGGTTCTGGACAGTAGGGCGTGGCCTGGCCACCGCCGGTGGGCGTGAGACCATCAGGGTGGGCTTGACGACCGGGCCCTCGCAACTGAACACGGGCACAGTCTGGCTGGCTTGGACCTCGCCATGGTCTGTGGAGGAGCACCAGACGGTGCGGTTGGCTGAGAGGGCGATTGTGGGCCTGCGTCTTGGCATGCCCGACGTTCTGACCTGATGCTGAACGGAGAACGGCACAGTGTAACGGACAGTACGAAGAGCAGTACGATGGCGAGCTGCTTGGTGGGTCTAATAGGAGGGATGTTGGATCTTGCGCAGAACGATCGTGGATCGTGGGACCAGGTTTAATTCCCGTGGGTGGATAGGATATTGCACAGGACAACGGCCATGGAGACGTCGAGACCGTAAGGGAGACGAAACGAACCGATGCTGCCCGGTTGTGGCCGGTTGTCAATTCGCAAGGGGAGCTCTCCATGTTTAGAAAGGTTCGTCCGTTGATACTGACTCCAGAAGAATACTGTGACTCCTGATGCAGATGAGTTAGATCTGATGAGCAGGTTGCCCAGGCTTAGCCTGGTGATGTACGGAGTACAGTGTTGCTCAAACATGCTCACTCTCAGAAAGGGAAATTTAGCCCTAATTGCGGCATGGTAATCCCGCTTTGCTGATCTGATCCCATGATTCCCCTTCGCTAGGCTGAGTTTGCTGTTGCTGTCTCGGCATGGCTCCCGTCGATTCACACCAATCCATCCATTCACCCAGCACAGACGGGCCATGTTCCCGAGACTGCTCCTCGTCAGGAGCACACTAGCCTCAATCCAGTCCGCTGTGAGAGAGCGCCCATCAGCAGTGCAAAGCATCGGCACAGCGCGACCGAAGACCGGGCCGGTAGGCGCAGGGGAAGGAGACCCTTTGATCAATCTGTGCCGTTTGAGAGCTTCTCGACTCCCCGTGCCTCGATCGTTCGGGAACTGCTGTGGGAACAATCGAAGCCAACACCATCAGATGAGGTGAGGTGACGCGATGCGACTAGACAGCACATGACGCTCTAGATGCGACAGAACCACAGCCAACCAGCTTCATACGCCCTGTCGTCTGGTTGTTTCTCCTAGACGAGCAATTGAAGCAACGCCATGCCGAGAAAGGTTGTAAGTGATCATACTGCGGAATGCTTAAACGTGCTCAATTGCATGGAAATTCGGAAATCCGTTGTTCGGAGTGTCGAGAGTCCGGACAGAGTCCGCGGAGACGATGTCCAACCTACGCCACACGGGCACTGGCGGCGGCAGATGCAGGGAAGGCACAGAGGGCGTTCCGTCCTCATAGCGCTGTAATTTTTAGGCTACAGGGCAGGAGGGCGCTAAAGCGTTCCCGTAGCGGGAAGGAGTAGCGCATATCACGGCGCGAAGCCCTAAAATACGGCAAGTGAGCGGACATTCGGACCTTGGAGGGACCGCCCGTGATTCTGGCATCACCAAAGTCAACATGATCCAATGCTGCTGCGGTGCATCCCTCTTCTGGTTGATTAGGCGTACTTCAGAGCACCTCAGTGCCCACAGTCGCTGACGCTACAGGCGGTGTACGCCCTCCGGAGCCCTGTCAAGGAGCAGAGTCAGGCGCTGTCTCGTCGAAGGAGAACCCCTGTGACTTCGTGCGAGAAGAGACAACTGGAACCTCGTCCACACCAGCCGACCTCAGGTGCCGCTACTGAGGTTCTTTGCCCGGAGCTGGACAGGTCAGCAGAAGCAAACAAGCTCTGCCCGGAGGTACCAAGCCCGACTCTCGGCCGATGGAGACGCCGGCTTGCCCCACTAGGAAATTCTCGTTTCTGGTCCCTGAAAGGCATCAGCCGGACATGGCCGGTTGTCACCATGGAACAGCACAGAACGGTTCTGGCGGCTAAACTACGTCTCCCGTCGCGGTTGCACTGTGAGTCGCCGCATACGACACATGGTCCAAACATACGAGGAGACATCATCTACTCCAGATTCGACTTGGCCAGTAATAGATTGCGCGTCCGGGTTGATGATGCGGAGCAAACTGGCTGGGGTCTGGGGATTGCCTCTTTCTCGTCGATTCCGAGTTACATATTGTTGAGACACTATCCAAGCCCTCTTCACATGCTGGCTTGCAGATGTTCTGCCGTGTGCGTTGGCATGGATGTGAGGTGGCTATCCGGTAATAATGCGAATGGCTGCTTGATCAGCTTGTTCAAAGCTGGGCAAAGGGAGTCAAATGGCACATTCAAGCAGCCAAGAACAACTGCACGGGCATGAACAGCCGCATCAACCACAGCAGATGCAGCAAAGCCGACAACAAAACGGCAATGTCCAGTAAGATGCCGACTCTGCTCCCTTGCATGTCGTCTGAAGCAGGTGCCTCAAACTTGGCATGTCCATCATGTGAGCAACGCCCTTACCCCGGCTTCTTTACATAACCACATCCGTTTTCAATGGGAGTCGTCGAATTGCCGATCATCACACTCATGCTGTATCCTGCTTTGATCTGTCACTTTTATCATGTTCTCGTGAGAGCTTCCAGATCCCCAGCGTCCTTGACTCACCTGTGACGACTTGTTTACAGCCCAGCGCCCAGCCATCACACACGTCAGGTGGCCGGTCTCAGATTTTGCACCTCCGGTGCCGGCCCCGCCAAACAAGGCCAGACTAAGAGAGCGAAAAACTTCTTCGATGGAAGCCGTATCCACATCATTCATGCCGGTTCCGCTCTGAGCTCATCAGGCAAAACGGTGACCTTCTTACGTCTTTGACGCTGGCCTGGTTCCTTGGCCGTCAGCTGGTCTCCTTGACAGGGCCAGTGCTAAATGGTGCAATCCACTCGAGTCCAGCGCCTTTCCTCCTGCGACTGAGCACAGTGGGGGTACGTTGTGGGGCTCTTTCCCAGGTCACCATGGGATGAAAAATTTTCTTGAGCGTGACGGTGGAATGTGGGAAGGGACGGAGCCGAGTTACCGTACGTTAAGGTGAAAGCGCAAGAGCAAGAGCCAACCGTGGTTGGAAGTCGAATGGATGGCCACACCGCGGCGGGTACGTACCGATCTGCACCGTGCCCGTCCCGTTTCTTCTCACCTTCTAGGCGAGCACGTCCCTGACCTCTCTTTCCTTGTTGGTCCGTCATCGTTCTGGCTACTTCGACCATACCATCATCGGTCGTGGAAAGGTGCCATGCCATCCAAAGATCCTGGGAAAAACTCTGAACTTGAATAACCGCCTCCACAGTTTTTCAAGGCACTAACACGATTGCGGTCGTGCTCTCACGGTGCCTTTGATTTGGAGCTTCGATCTTGGAATTTTCAAGGGGTCTATTACTGGAGCCGAGTCGACACCCAAGACGAACGTTCCTTGAATCTTGCGGTATGACGACTTGATTGGCTCGTCACCCACGTGGACCTTCTGGAATACACGCACACCCTTCCACGTAACGATTCGATCACGGCATCGTGAAGCAGATTTGTTGCATCAGCAAGGTTTGCGGCCAACAAGGCCTTCCATGGTGAGAGAATCTATGTACTACGGAGATCGCTCTCCTATTGTCGTGGAGGTCCAACAACCAACGAGTCACAGAGGTCTACGCCAGGCATCTCGGTGTATCACTCTGGTCTCACAACACGTGGCTCGATATTTCCGCCAGTATCAACTTACAGTTGTAGTTTGATGCCACATGGACTTCACGTTCTTCCAGCATTCAAGTCGTGTATGCGAGTCAACTATCCACCCTGGTGAATCACATCACGTTAACATCGCCAATTTGAACATCAATACGACCCCCATTTACTCGGGACCTTGTTGCCACAGCGTCAGTGTTACAAAGCCACTCAGACCATGAGATCGGACGCTCAAACCTTCTCGATGAAGCAGATCTCACTCATCCCGTCTCAGATACGTAGACCTGGGTGACGTGTTTAGGGTATCTGTTCGCTTGAAGCTTCACCCTCATCCCCACGGATCTCGATATTTGGGCCACACCAGAATGTTCCCTGCTCCATTCTTAGTCGCGGGTACTCCCATCCCCCGAAGAAGCACCAGAAGCATCTCCGCCTTTGGCATCGAACGTCTACTGACCCCATCGCGGAGTCAGGTCTGGAGGTTCTGATGCGGTCTAAAGTGGATCTCAACCACCATCTCAGCTTCTTTTTCTTGTTCTTCGCCACCAGCACCTGAGTCCCACACGCACGCGCACGTTTGCTTGCGCAAGGCCTCCGGCTCTCAACCACTCAACATCAACTCTGAGGCTGCCAAGTTCTTGTTGACAGACACAAAGATCGGCAACTACATATGCGGCGCAAGCCATGCCCGAAGCCTCCCTCGGCATAACTCGAATCAAGACGAGCCGCATCTTACAGGCTGCAGTTCTCGACAAAACCCTTCACTTTTCGAGGGACCTGGCTGTTTTGCAAGGGTGCGCAACGTAACGCATTGCTCGTTCCTGACGATCCATCGCCAGCCACACAGTGCCTTTCCCGTTACCTAAGAAGCCTCCAACCTTGGTCGGCCACCACCCTTCATCAACTTTTCACGCCCTTTCACACCCTGTCCCCTGAAAGACCAGATTGGTCGAGTCTGCCTCACACGGCCCTGAGCCACATCTCATCGTGAGAACCCCTTGGGTGTTCGCGACTCAGCCCTGTCACCCTACCCTGGTTCGTCGCCATCTCGGGAACCGCCTCTTTACGATGGTGCAATCATGTACCAAACCAGCGCAACGTGCTTCCAGGCGTCAGCTCTAGACTTTGGCCTTGGCCCTCGTTCCTCAATGGCTGGTTCTAAACCATTACCTGAGCATCAATGGATTTAAGCCAAATAAACGACACATTCGCCATCACTTACACCATTGCTGTTGGGCCATCACATCATGGAAACCCGCCCTAGATCGAGTTCTCTAGACCAGGCTTGGCACATCGATTTTGGCTGGGGGTCACTCTCCCACCACCAATATTATGTGCACGGGCACATTGCTAACCACACGTCTTTTCAAATTTTCCTCCTCTAGCTCAGAAAACCGTGGGCCAAGCGCCGGTTTTGAGCCGCATTTGAACTTGGTGCGCGGGCCATTTACGCTATTATTATACCATGGGATCCTCTTTATCAATCACAAGACGGCATGAGTCTTTTGGTGGGTTCTCTGAGATTTCTCCCTCAGCTCCGTTCCACTTCACGACAATCCCACGGCTGTTTCATCTCCAACCTGTCCCGACAGCAAGCGGTTAATGCCGGTCAAGACACGGTGAATGGGAATGAAGTCAATTTCGGCGTCCCTTGCCCTGTTTGTTTGGCTGAGAGCAAGGGATTCCGAGACAAGCTTCGGTAGCGGTCTGGGTAACGGGACGGTAATTGCTACCCGTTCATGATCGAATCTGGCATCAACTGCATTGTTTGGGCTCCAAGAGGGTCCACGGCAAATATGCAGACGAGATTAAGCCCAAGGCAGAAAAAACTTGGCTTCAGCACGGTTGCGCCGGCGGCGATCGATGGGCATCAGTCGATGAGGCTCTATTTCACATAAACTACTACGCCAAGATCGATCTTCATGGCCCAAACATTTTGTCTGCGGCGGAGCTCTATGCGAGCTGGCCCAGAGTCTTGAGCTTACCAAGGGGTACAGAATAGCCGTGAGCCGCTAGGCGCCGCATTGGCACACGGCGCCGTAGCGGCCACGGAGCTCCTCCTCAAAATCGATCGCGACAGTCCTTGTGAGCTCCGGCTCTCAATTCTCCTGCTTAACGGAGCCAAGGCCTGGGACGGACACGAAGTTCCTCAGACGTGGCTCACCTGGCACAGTGCTTGCTGTCCTTCCCTTGGTTACGGATCCATACCCTTGCATGCCCTGTCTTCCTCTGCCGACTGTGACCCTTCCAATGCCTGTGCATCATGTGCCTAATTCTCGGCCTGGCCTTGGTAGGCCCTGGTCTCCCTGCTCAATGCGTCCATCTGAGCGGCTGTAACCCTGGCCGGCGGCGTCCGTGCCAACATGGGCCGTTTCTTGGGATCATCAAGCAAACGGACCATTTCGGCAGACCTGTCATATGGTGCAGCTCCCGATTTCTGCTGCAACACGCCAGTGCTTCAAACGGCGGAGGGCGTGATGTGGAAGCACAAGTCAGCCTGTCATCTCCTGTCCGTCAAGCTGGCTCTTCTCTCGGTGTCAATAAACGATACCCATGGTCTCGGCGACATGTTTGTCTTGCCATTGTAATAGAATTGCACCATAGTTTGGTCGGCCTTGGCAGTTGGTTTCTTAGTTTGAGCACCCTTTTTGAGCTTCGTTACGAAGCTCGTCAGGGTCAAAATAAGCTACCTACGACAGCAGCCACATTCTCGTGAGATATGGGTAGGGGTTGCAGGGGTAGCTCTGGGATGGTTACCAAGATCCTGAGGTCTGGCGTCTGGGTTGTTTCGGCTCTCGTGACCGAATCTCGAGTGAGCGACAGCGATTACTTTGGCGGCCAGCTAGAGATGCCTTGTGAGGACGGACCGGGTAGCGCCCCTATGAGAGACGAGTGTCGTCGATTCCGTGTGTCAACTCCTAAAACACCGGTCAGGTGACCACGGTCGGCAGTGTCGTTGATCTCACAACAGGATGGCCATAAACTACATGCATAAGATCTACGAGTTGGGTGGGCGCTACTCTCTAGCGACATCTAGAGATAGCGCATGCATTGCCCAATTACAGAGCTGCCCAGATTCTCAAAACGCTAGCTGATATCTTTCATCCTCTGCCGAGAGACTGTCCGGGGATTCCGGGGTTGAAGATATGTTCCCTTCTGGGGGAAGATAAGGCTGCTTGAGATAAGAGTGTGTGGGCTCATGACAGATAGGGCTGCCTGAACGGGTTGTGATAGATAGCCGTCTCTCGCACAGTTCCAAGAGGCCTGGTATCGGGTTTCTATCGATGTGGGTAGAGTAAAGGAAAAATCTTCACACCAAAACTAGTTCGATGGGTTCACGATGGTGTTGTGTGTTTCGCCCAGCAAGTCCCCCTATCCCGGCTATGCCCCTGACAACAAGCTCAGTGATAATGCACGGTGCGATAATCTAATTCTATAGAGGGAAAGTGGGTTTCCTACATCACCTAAAATCTTGAATTACGTGCCTGATTCCTTTTAAGGTCCCTTGACTCATAGACAGTGGGCTTGTGGACCCTACATCGTTGATAATGACACAACTTGGACTCTAAGCGAGGTGTATCGAGATCGAGCGGATTTCACCGATATCGATGAGACGGGAGCTGACATGGTAGAAGCTGGTTGTCACAGTTG